TGGCCACGTTCCCCCATCGGCATGGGTCGAGTCTGTACACCCTTGCTACCGGGCCTCCTCAGGTAGCTGCGTCTGCCCAGGTGTCAGCATCAGGTCCGGTAGCACCCCCCTGCTCGTGTCGCCTCCTACCGCACCAGACTCTCCTGTGGCACCACCACCTTGGTCACCCCTCCCTGCCACGCCTTCATGGCATGCACTCCCGCCTCCTTGTCTCTGGTCTTCCCAAGTCTCTGCCTCCCCTCCCTCCCTCGCCTGCCCCGCACTGCCTTCTTTGCGTTGAGGGGCGGCAGCACGCCGCTCCTCACTCCTCGTTTCCCCCAACGACTGCTCCCCTGCAGACTCTCCACATGGACGTGTGGGGTTTAGCCCGCGTTAGTGGACAGGGCTGCGAGCGCTACTTTCTGCTGGTTGTTGACGACTACACGTGTTACACCACGGTCTTCCCCTTGCGCGGCAAGGGTGAGTTCCCTGATGTCTTGATCCCTTGGATCCGCGCAGTCCGTCTCCAGCTCCGCGAGCGGTTCCACCAGGACCTTCCTATCCTACGTCTGCACTCTGACAGAGGTGGTGAGTTCTCCTCCGACCTCTTGCGGGACTTTTTTCGTGGGGAGGGCATACTCCAGTCGTTCACGCTTCCGGCCTCCCCGCAGCAAAATGAGATTGATGAGCGCCGCATTGGCTTAGTCATGGAGGTCGCTCGTACCTCCATGATCCATGCGGCTGCTCCCCATTTTCTGTGGCCGTTTGTGGTCCGGTACGCTGCGCATCAGCTCAACCTCTGGTCCCGTGTCTCCTTGCCGGAGACCTCGCCTACACTGCGTTGGACGGGGAAGGTTGGCGATGTGTCGGTGTTCCGGGTCTGGGGTTCTCGTGCCTTTGTTCGCGATACGTCTGTGGACAAGCTCTCCGCCCGCGGACAAGCTCTCCGCCCGCGCTATTCCCTGCGTCTTCCTTGGCTTTCCCCCTGACGCGCCTGGCTGGTAGTTTTACCATCCCACCTCGCGCCGTGTCCTCCCCTCTCATGACGTCACGTTTGACGAGTCGGTTCCCTTTTTCCGTCTCTTCCCCTACCGCTCTGCCCCTCTCCCACCCCCGCCGCTCTTCCTTGCTCTAGGTCCCCCTCCGGTAGACCCCCTCCCCCCTGAGGGTCCTGCTCCCTCAGGTGTGTCTCAGGTAGATCCTGTCGAGCCTGTCGAGGTAGCTGTTGACTCTGGTGCTACTGGGGGTGGTGCTTCTAGGGGTGCTGCGTCTGGGGGTGCTGAGCCGGCGGGTGCGGGGCCTGGGGGTACTGAGCCTGCGTGTACGGAGCCTGGGGTTGCTGAGTCCGAGGGTGCGGAGCCTGAGCGTGCGGAGCCTGGGGGTGTTGAGCTTGGGGGTGCTGAGCCTGGGGGTACTTTTTCTCCTGGAGGTCCTCCGGGTGCCTTGTCGCGGTGGGAGCCTCTCTCTCCACCGCAGCTGTGCGAGTGGTTTGCTCGGCGCACCCGCCTTTGGAGTGGCGCTGTTGGAGCCGAGGGGTCTGCCGCTGGAGGCACTGGAACTCGTGGTCCTGGAGGTACTAGAGTTGCTGGAGTTGGTGGTGCTGCAGGAGTTGGAGCTAGAGGTACTGGAGCTCGAGCTGCTGGAGTTACTGCAGCCGCTGTTCCTGGAGGTGCTCGCACTGGAGGTACTGGAGCTGCTGGAGCTGGTGGTGCTGTAGACGATGGAGCTGGAGACCCTGGAGCTGGAGCTGCTGGAGGTACTGGAGCCGCTGGTCCTAGAGGTGCTCGTACTGGAGGTACTGGAGCTGCTAGAGCTGGTGGTGCTGCAGGAGTTGGAGCTGGAGACCCTGGAGCTGGAGACACTGGAACTAGAGGCGCTGGCCCTGGGGGTGCTGGTGCTGTTGGTGCTGGTTCTGGAAACACTGGACGGCCGCGACCGTACTTTGTTCCCCTACTTCAGCAGGTTCTTGGTCTCCTGTCTCCTGCGGCCTTACTCCTCCCTTACTGTGTCCACCGCCTGACCAGTCGCAGCCGCCGTTACAGCCAGCCTCCCCATTGCCTGCTCTTGGGTTTGTTCCTTCTACTGCTGACCCGTCGCTTTTTCTACGCACCGACACTTCGCTGCCGCCGTTCTACGTCCTCGTCGACGACTTTGTCTTTGCCACTGCTGACACTGAGGCACTGGCCCTTGTGAAGTCGGAGCTGAAGAAAAGACACACCTGCACTGACTTGGGTGAGCTGCGCAGCTATCTTGGCTTGCAGATCACCCGGGAAAAAGCACGGCGCACCATCACCCTGTCTCAGTCACACATGGTGCACCAGGTCCTTAAGCGCTTCGGCTTCCGGTACTCCTCGCCACAGTCCATCCCTCTGCCTACCGGTCACTCGCTCTCAGCTCCACCTTCGGACGAGTCCGTAGAGCCGAGTGGCCCGTATCCAAAGCTTGTGGGCTGCCTCATGTACCTGATGACCTGCACTCGAATTGACCTTACCTACCCTCTTAGCATCCTGGCACGCTACGTTGCGCCCGGGAGACACCGACCAGAGCACTGGGAGGCCGCTAAGAGGGTGTTGCGCTACTTGTGCAGTACGTCGGGCATGGGGCTCGTGCTTGGAGGACGGGGTCCAGTTGTCCTCACTGGACATGCAGACGCTTCTTGGGTTGACGACTTGGCTACGCAGCGGTCGTCACAGGGTTACACTTTCAGCCTTGGCTCCGGCTCTGTTTCTTGGCGGTCTACCCGCTCGTCTTCTGTTCTCAGTTCCAGTTGTAAGGCTGAGATCTATGCAGGGGCCATGGTTGCACAGGAGTTACGCTGGCTCACCTACCTGCTAACCGACTTGGGAGAGCGGCCTCGTTCTTCTCCAGTTCTGTACGTAGACAACAAGGCCATGTTTCCTTGTGTCAGGAGCACAGACTGGAGCGCAGAACGAATCACATTGCTCTGCGTTACTTCCTTGCTCGAGAGTTGCAGCAGCGTGGTCAGCTTCGTCTTGCTTATGTGGCCACTAGGGCCAACACTGCTGATATATTCACCAAGGCACTTCAGTCTGGTGATCATCAGCGTTTCTGTACTGTTTTAGGCCTTGTGCCTTCCTTGCCTCACTTGCTCACTGCGTGACTTTGCTTGTACTGTGATCTTTATACATATACCTGCATGCTTACTCTTGTTAGGGTATGATCACTGTACTGTTTGTTCTCTTTTATATAATTCTGCATGTGAACTGGCCTTGTGGCCTTTGTTTGTGCTCAGAATGTGTGGTGACTTGTACCCATAAGGGGTACAACCCAATTAGGGTTAGTACTTGTACCCAACTCTTTCATAGTTCATTCATTCTCGTTCAGTATTCTGACAGTTGTTTCTAACAACTAACTAATACACTAGCAAACTGTAGGCAATTATACAAGATATGCAAATATACAATTCAACAACTTGGGGTATGATTCATGACACCATAGTTCAAGGCAATAAATTGTATCATTTGCAAGCGGAATCTTGTATGACACTCTATGCCACAGCAATCAGAGGATGGATAAATCTATTTATTCTTACATAAGGGTCTGGCATGAACCTGAATCAAATTCAACTACATGAGTGCATGGATAGGCTGGACTGGGATGCTAATGCCCCTCAAGCAGCATTATGCTACTCTGTCTTCACAGTCTTTGGGCGGCGAGGCTTGTACACCATTGACAAAACAATCAGGAGAATTGGAATGACAGTACCAGTGTAGTACATGCCACTGTAGGCCGAATATGCGCCCGAAAGTGTCATTACCTGCATCAGGAAAAGCCAAAGCAAAAAAGCACAATGGAGGCGAAGGCAAGGAGCAGAAAGGAGTGGGCGGCATCGAGGCACAGGGGCCCAGAGCGAGATACAGACGACTGCACTGCAGCAAGGTTTACTAGACATAAATCCATGGAAAAGGTAGTAAAACGTGCACGCTTACGACACAGAAGGCGCCGACCATGTAGGTGCAGACAAAGTGACTCTTGTGTCGTCTCATTATGACTTTTGAGTCAACTCAAAAATCCATGGTGAAGTTGTGAAACGAGCACACTTACACAGAAGGCGCTGGCCATGTAGCTGCAGACAAAGATGCCGTAGAGGGTGTGGAGAAGCGCAACAATGCGGTGCGTGATGGTGCCCTTGGGGATTCCAGCCGTGAGCTGGTAGATGGCTGCATGCGAGTGAGCGAAGAGAGAAGAAGGGATGGAGAGGGGGAAACAATGGTTGAGTTTGAGAATTCTCAAAATCAAACTGCAGCGGGGGGTGATGGTGCCCTTTGGGATTCCAGCCGTGAGCTGGTAGATGGCTGCATGCAAGGGAAGCGAGATGAAGGGCAGGAGCGGGGGAATCAAAGGTTGATTTCGAGAATTCTCAAAATCAAACTGCAGCGGGGGGTGATGGTGCCCTTGGGGATTCCAGCCGTGAGCTGGTAGATGGCTGCATGCAAGGGAAGCGAGGTAAAGGGCAGGAGCGGGGGAATTAAAGGTTGATTTCGAGAATTCTCAAAATCAAACTGCAGCGGTGGGTGATGGTGCCCTTGGGGATTCCAGCAGACGCTGGTAGATGGCTGCATGCGAGGGAAGAGTGATGAAGGGAAGGAGAGGAGGAATCAATTTGAAGGAGGTGCATTGAAGAAGTAAGCAGGATCTGCCGAGCTGACAAGCTGACAAGCTGACAAGCTGGAGAGTTGAGGTCAAGGGTTATGAAGCCGCATGGTGATGGAAGAATGGGGATGGAAAATGTGTATGGAAGAATAGGAATGGCATGGTGATGGGAGTAATGCGAGTAGGAATGGAAAATGGATATGGGACAGCGAATGGGAGTGGACATGAGAACAGGAAGGGAAAAAGAAATGGGCTTGAAGAAGAAAGATGGAAATGGGCGTGGAAATGAGATGGAAGCACAGGAATGAAAATGTCAGGGGAAACTATGTTGTAATAATGGCTACAGAATGTAGGGTTTGGCGTAACTTCATTTTCCATTTCGGAAACGCTCAAGTTCAGTTGCAAACCTTTAGAGCTGGCAACAACAAGTGCCCAGTTGGCAAAGAAGATGAAGTCGCCCCAATTCAATCCCTGCAGGCACCAACCCAACGAGCACGGAGTTGGAAAAGTGCGGATAGGTGGGCAATTCGAGGAGGAAACCACAGCCCTGAAATCAAGGAATGACTGGAGGCTGAGAATGTGAGTGCAAGTGAGACACAGAAATGTACCAGTCTCAATGGTTGTGCCAGTCTCATTGGTTGTGCCAGTCTCATTGGTTGTGCCAGTCTCATTGGTTGTGCCAGTCTCATTAGTTGTGCCAGTCTCATTGGTTGTGCCAGTCTCATTGGTTGTGCCAGTCTCATTGGTTGTGCCGGTCTCATTGGTTGTGCCGGTCTCATTGGTTGTGCCGGTCTCATTGGTTCTGCCGATCTCATTGGTTGTGCCGGTCTCATTGGTTGTGCCGGTCTCATTGGTTGTGCCGGTCTCATTGGTTGTGCCGGTCTCATTGGTTGTGCCGGTCTCATTGGTTGTGCCAGTCTCATTGGTTGCGCCAGTCTCATTGGTTGTGCCAGTCTCATTGGTTGTGCCAGTCTCATTGGTTGTGCCAGTCTCATTGGTTGTGCCAGTCTCATTGGTTGTGACAGTCTCATTGGTTGTGCCAGTCTCATTGGTTGGGCCAGTCTCATTGGTTGCGCCAGTCTCATTGGTTGCGCCAGTCTCATTGGTTGCGCCAGTCTCATTGGTTGTGCCAGTCTCATTGGTTGTGCCAGTCTCATTGGTTGTGCCAGTCCCATTGGTTGTGCCAGTCTCATTGGTTGTGACAGTCTCATTGGTTGCGCCAGTCTCATTGGTTGTGCCAGTCTCATTGGTTGTGCCAGTCTCATTGGTTGTGACAGTCTCATTGGTTGTGCCAGTCTCATTGGTTGTGCCAGTCTCATTGGTTGTGCCAGTCTCATTGGTTGTGCCAGTCTCATTGGTTGTGCCAGTCTCATTGGTTGTGCCAGTCTCATTGGTTGTGCCAGTCTCATTGGTTGCGCCAGTCTCATTGGTTGTGCCAGTCTCATTGGTTGTGCCAGTCTCATTGGTTGTGCCAGTCTCATTGGTTGCACCAGTCTCATTGGTTGTGTCGGTCTCATTGGTTGTGCCAGTCTCATTGGTTGTGCCAGTCTCATTGGTTGTGCCAGTCTTATTGGTTGTGCCAGTCTCATTGGTTGTGCCTGGAGCAGTGTGCCGCTATCAACCAGTGAGGAGCTTGCTCTTGATGATACCAAGGGGCAATAGGCGCGGGATTTGTTAGACGCTACAGTGACTGTTGAGGGATAGCATTCGTGGTGCCAAAACCAGAACACAGATTGGCTATCATATGCAAGAGTATGAGGAATGATGGCTTAGCTGCTTGCATGGGAGCGAGGTAGGGTGACGCAAAAAGGGGACAGGAGAGAACGACATAGGCGTGATGTGTGTGAGGGACGGCAAGTGACCATACACAGGAGGCTCGGGGCCTGTTTTTGAGGCGCATACAAAATAGAACGACATAGGGGTGATGTTTGTGAGGGGGTAAGGAAGAATGCACATGGGAGGGAGTAAGGAAGAATGCACATGGGAGGGAGGGGGTAAGAAGGAACACACATGGGAGACGGCACTGACGAACATGGTGGCGAGCATGTGAGAGGGCAAGAGACGGCAAGAGGGCAAGACAGCATGTGACTCACATGGGAGACGGCACTGACGAACATGGTGGCGAGCATGTGAGAGGGCAAGAGACGGCAAGAGGGCAAGAGAGCATGTGACTCACATGGGAGACGGCACTGACGAACATGGTGGCGAGCATGTGAAAGAACGTTGCCTTCCTGCCGGGCGGCACCATGCGCTCGTACACATCTGAGTAGGGCGAGAGGGTGGCCACGGGGTGAGAATGACGCATGGAGTATAGAGGCAGGGCGGGTGGGGGGTGGTGAGAATGAAACATGGTGGCGAGCAAGTGGAAAAAGGTTGCCTTCCCTGCTTGCCGAGCAATACCATGTGCTCGTACACGTCTGAGCAGGGAACAAGAGCAAGAGGCCAGGAGTGGACAGGTAGCAGGGTGGCATGGGGAAGTAGCGGACAAGAATGGAGATTGAAGCATGAAGCTTGAAGCATGAAGCATGGCGAGCATGTGGAAGAACGTTGCCTTCCTGCCAGGCGGCACCATGTGGTCGTACACATCTGAGCAGGGTGAGAGGGTAGCCAGGGGTGAGAATATGGAACGGAGACATGAGAGAAGCACACAAGAATGAAGAATGAAGCATGGAGCATGGAGCATGAAGCATGGAGTATGGCGTATGGAGTACGGCAGAGCAAAGCTGGCCCAGCAGCCTCTCGGGCTGACTAACAACACATGCAAATCGAGGAGCGAACGGGAGATGCACTAAGCTTGAAATCGCAGAGATCCACAGGGGTGGAGAGGTAGAGGTGCAGGTGCAGTGCGGTGTGCACTCACAGAGCCTGAGCCAGAGAGCAGGGATGAGGGGGTTGCCACGGGACGGGCTGATAGAGAGCAGGGAACTCACAGAGCCAGAGGCCGTAGGAGATGTTCCAGGTGGTGGCGAAGTCGACTCACAAGTCATTTCGAGTCGATTCAAAAGTCATCTCAAGACTCACAGAGCCTGAGCCAGCGGCCGTGCAGCGTGCACTTTTAGAGGCTGAGGCAGGTGGCTTTAGGGTCGAACCAAAACTCACACAGCCTGAGGGTGTTGTCTCACAGAGCCTGAGGCCGTGCACTCACAGAGTCGGAGCCAGAGGCCGTAGGAGATGTTCCACGTGGTGGCGAAATCGAGGCAGCTCTTGGGGAACTCGAACCCCAGGATATCCGCGTTCCGCGCCCTATTCCACAGCGCCTTCCCCTCCCCCTCCCCTCCAGGCGCCGCGCACGTCTCATCACCCTCCCGCTTCCCCCCATCCCCGCCCTTCCCACCCCCGTTCACCCCCTCCACTCCCCCCGTCACTCCCCCGCCCTTCCCAGCCTCCCCCTTCCCTTTGTGACCCTCCCACCCGCTGAAGCCGAGCCCGCCGACGACCATAGCAGCTTCAGTGATGCTCCAGAGGATGTAGGCGCGGAAGCGCCACACGATGCTGGCCTGGTGCGCGAACAGCCAGCGCAGGTGGAAGGGGTACGCGCGGTTCTTGCGCAGGTCGCTGATGCGCGTGAGGTCGAGCGAGGGGGACACGAGCAGGAAGACGAGCGCCGCGAGGATGCCCTGTACGAACGCGCGGAAGAACGGCGGGATGGTGGGCGGCTGCTTGAGACTTGGGGACCAGATCTGCAAGTGGCGAGGAGGGGGATGGGTGGGAACAGAGAGAAGAGTGCGGAGAGGAGAGCGGAGATGACGCTTAGAACGAGCGCGCAGGAGGATGGCAGAAGAGGAAGGGCGAATGGCTGCGTGAGCGTGAGGGGGATACGAATATGTATGTGGCGTCACGTCACAACACAGCCCAGTGATACGGATACGCATATCCACTTCAAGTCCAGTCGCGGAGGGGGTTATGCACATATGCACGCGCGTCGAGTTCAGATGAGCATGCGTACCCCTTGTCGGCGGGTCCAGTCGTCGTATGCCTTGAACTCGAAGAACGGGCCCGTCATGTGCAGCCCGAAGCAGAACAGGTATCCCAACAGCTCCAACGGCGACGGCATGATAACCAGCGCCGCCTTTCGCCGCTCCAGTCGCGAGCGCTCCATCCGCTCCTCGCGCCGCCTCTGCTCCTCGGTTAGTTCCTTCTTCTCCTTCTCGTCCTTGGCTTTCGCGCCTTGGTCCTTCTCCTTGAGCAGCGTGAGCCCGTCCTGGTAGTTATACGCGACAGCGGTGAGCTTTGTAGCGAGGACGGTGAGCGCGCCTGTGCAGTCGAGCACGCCCTCCGTGCGGGTCTCGTGGGTCCGCATGATGATGTGGCTGGAGGAGGTCGGATCGAATCGCATCGAAGGAGGAAAAATGCACGTGACGAACGTGAGAATTGCACATGCTGAATGTTGAGTCGACTCAAAAGACGAATCACCTCCAACGACGAAAAAATGCACGTGAGAAACGGAACATCTGAGCGTGAGAAATGCACATGCTGAACGGTGGTGAGTTAAGGAAGCTTGACGCGGGGAATGTCGGGAGGGAAGACGGGAGGGAAACTTACCATCCGATCAAGTACGCGAACGTTCCGAAGAACGTTAGGACGCCGCAATTTCTCCGAAACAGGCGCATTACCGCCATGGAGTAGAGAATGCACGCGAAGAAGTGCGCGTACGCCGTCCATCCGAACACGAACGCCGATAAAAGCAGTCCCGTTACTGTGCAGTACAGATGGCGGAGTGTAGGCGAGGAGATGAACCTATGAATCCATGCGATCGGCACGAACGCGAAGCTAGCTAGAAGGAAAGTCGCGGCTGGACGGGGTGTGCCGATAAGGTCAGCGAAAGCCTGTACGGGATCCATGGCGGACCCCCAACGCAAGGAGTATCAATGGGCTGATGCAGAGGCGAATGGCGGGCCGAGGCTGTTCTTGCTCTCTCTAAACGTTCTCCCTCCCGTGTCCAGCTTATGTCAGCTTATGTCTGGCTTACACAAGTTATCCAGAGTGGCTGAGTGAAAGACGAGGTTTTGTCAGGCACCGACCAACACTACCAATGCAACCTTGAGATCACCGCAGCCTTGAAAGTCATTTTTGGAACAAATTGATTGGAGAGGCTGATTCAGATGCTCACCACGACTACCAACGCTGTGGGCGGAATACACCTCTCCCAACCGTGGCAGACCGTATTACCCGCCTAACTTGGGTCGGCACAACCGAGATTGACATGGGCGTTCAGTGGAGCTGTTGTCTTTTGGTGGGATGCTGACGAGATCGCAACCGCTCATCCAAAGTGGATGAGGCGATTGTAAATCGTGGGCGTTGGCGATGATGGAACAAGAAGCACACTGGCGAAGCGCGACAAATGTGTCAGAAACGACATGAAGTCTGACACCCAGCAGAAAAGGTGAGTGTTGTGAGTTGTGGATTGGAGTGCGCGTACTAACGAATAACGAAACGTTGATCAATGGGAATCAGTATGGAGGAGGTAATAGTTCGGGAGAATATGTCAATGGTAACTTTTATGGGGCATTATAACGTGTGGAACGAGTTACCAAACGCGTTAAAATTCTTAGGTAATAGTTACCATACGCGTGGAACGAGTTACCAAACGCGTTAAAATTCAATGTAATGGTTACCATACGCGTTATGGAGCCTCGTATACGTTACCATTCGCATACTTTCCCTAATAGTTCACCCCTCACGACGTATTTACCTGCACACCGACCCTACTTCCAAACCACGTTGCAACTAGGACAGGGCACTAACAATTTGCACATTACCGCCACCATTATTTCACTGTTTGATGTTTGCGTACATAGGAATATTTGCCTCGATAGTGCAATTCTTGCTCGCTCGCCCAATTGCACTCGTAACACATCTGTTTTTGGCATCCACATTCCCGCAAAAACCTTTAAAATAAAATTAAAAAAAACCATTTCGAGCCACTTCGGTCACGAAGGTTATTGCAGAACAGTACTTTCATCAGATAAGCTTCCCTGATATGTCACATTTCCCTAACAAAACCCCTCGAAGGGAAGCATGTGTGGAGCCACAAATATCCACAAGTACATAATCTCCAGTGCCAGCAACCCCCCCTCCAGCTGAACCCCTACCAGCCCCACCCCCATCCCCCCCATTTTCCAAGTCCAGCGAAGAACCCTTGTGTTTCCTGTCCGCTGCTGTCAAATGCTGGTGGAGGGAGTTGTGGAAGGTCACTCGGTGGCCCAGGTCAGTCTTCCCAATCAGCTCTGTGAGTGGAGAGCGCTTGTTGGGACCCTCCACAAGCACCACCTGCTTGATTCCCACCTGGAGAAGAGAGAAAACAGAAAAGGATATGGGCCGCGATGGCGAGTGTTTTTGCGGCGCCTTGAAAACAGCTCGATGGCCCAAATCAGTATTTCCAATCAGCTCTGCGAGTGGAGGGGTGCTTGCTGAGAACAAGTGCAAGGTACAGGCAGGTGGCAGTGAGGTAGCCACTGGTGCAGGTGAAACGTTCCAGCAGGTGGAGGGAAGTAGCAAGGGCCTCCCAAGTGTATGAGGCACACATTCAGTTCTGCCTGGCAGTGCCCTGCCTCTTCAGCCGACTTGCAACTGATCTAAGCTGAATATGTAGAGTATATAAGGCAGATACAGTTGCGTCTGGCAGGGATGTGACGCCCTTGAGGAGTTGCTTTCGAGAAGTCTCAATTGATGTCCTCGAGCAAACCACAAACAACCAGGTGTGGCAGGTCTGGCATGCACCCGCGTCTGCCAGGAGCGTTGTATCTGAGATACACCACACCCTTGGGGATGCATGCAGAAGGCCTTACCTGAGCCGCGTATCTGGCAGCTGTGGTCTCCCGAAAGGTAGAGACGAGTTCACTCAGCCGTCGCTGCTTCACCTCCTCCGGTACATCGTCCTCCAGCCGCCGGTGGGCATGCGTGCGCGGGCGCAGCGAGTAGGCAAACATGTAGGCCATGTCGTATCCCACTGCTCGCATGAGAGAGAGCGTCTCCTGGTGCTCCTCCTCTGTCTCGCTGCAGAATCCTGGGGGATCGACAAGCAGGAAGGAAGGGCACACAGGGAGAAAGGGGTTTCTTCTAGGCATAGCCACAGTGAGCAGGCAAACATGAGCGAGTGAGCGTGTCCTGGTGCTCCTCCTCTCTTTCACTGCAGAATCCTGGGGGATCGACAAGCAGGAAGGAAGGGCACACAGGGAGAAAGGGGTTTCTTCTAGGCATAGCCACAGTGAGCAGGCAAACATGAGCGAGTGAGCGTGTCCTGGTGCTCCTCCTCTGTTTCACTGCAGAATCCTGGGGGATCGACAAGCAGGAAGGAAGGGCACACAGGGAGAAAGGGGTTTCTTCTAGGCATAGCCACAGTGAGCAGGCAAACATGAGCGAGTGAGCGTGTCCTGGTGCTCCTCCTCTGTCTCACTGCAGAATCCTGGGGGATCGACAAGCAGGAAGGAAGGGCACACAGGGAGAAAGGGGTTTCTTCTAGGCATAGCCACAGTGAGCAGGCAAACATGAGCGAGTGAGCGTGTCCTGGTGCTCCTCCTCTGTTTCACTGCAGAATCCTGGGGGATCGACAAGCAGGAAGGAAGGGCACACAGGGAGAAAGGGGTTTCTTCTAGGCATAGCCACAGTGAGCAGGCAAACATGAGCGAGTGAGCGTGTCCTGGTGCTCCTCCTCTGTCTCACTGCAGAATCCTGGGGGATCGACAAGCAGGAAGGAAGGGCACACAGGGAGAAAGGGGTTTCTTCTAGGCATAGCCACAGTGAGCAGGCAAACATGAGCGAGTGAGCGTGTCCTGGTGCTCCTCCTCTGTCTCACTGCAGAATCCTGGGGGATCGACAAGCAGGAAGGAAGGGCACACAGGGAGAAAGGGGTTTCTTCTAGGCATAGCCACAGTGAGCGGCAAACATGAGCGAGTGAGCATGTCCTGGTGCTCCTCCTCTGTTTCACTGCAGAATCCTGGGGGATCGACAAGCAGGAAGGAAGGGCACACAGGGAGAAAGGGGTTTCTTCTAGGCATAGCCACAGTGAGCAGGCAAACATGAGCGAGTGAGCGTGTCCTGGTGCTCCTCCTCTGTTTCACTGCAGAATCCTGGGGGATCGACAAGCAGGAAGGAAGGGCACACAGGGAGAAAGGGGTTTCTTCTAGGCATAGCCACAGTGAGCAGGCAAACATGAGCGAGTGAGCGTGTCCTGGTGCTCCTCCTCTGTTTCACTGCAGAATCCTGGGGGATCGACAAGCAGGAAGGAAGGGCACACAGGGAGAAAGGGGTTTCTTCTAGGCATAGCCACAGTGAGCAGGCAAACATGAGCGAGTGAGCGTGTCCTGGTGCTCCTCCTCTGTCTCACTGCAGAATCCTGGGGGATCGACAAGCAGGAAGGAAGGGCACACAGGGAGAAAGGGGTTTCTTCTAGGCATAGCCACAGTGAGCAGGCAAACATGAGCGAGTGAGCTTGTCCTGGTGCTCCTCCTCTGTTTCACCGCAGCAGCCTCGGGGATCCACAGGGTATCAACTTGCACAGGGTATCAACTTGCACAGGGTATCAACTTGCACAGGGTATCAACTTGCACAAAATATCAACTTGCACAGGGTATCAACTTGCACAAAATATCAACTTGCACAGGGTATCAACTTGCACAGGGTATCAACTTGCACAGGGTATCAACTTGCACAGGGTATCAACTTGCACAGGGTATCAACTTGCACAGGCAGCGGCAGTGGCAGCAGGGTGCTGTATCTGAACAGGGTCACCACCACTGACTATACTTCCGCACTCACCTCTGACCATGCTCTCTCCCTCTCTCTCTCACGCACACACCAGCTCCAGATACGCCCCGCACTCTCATGATACTCCCTCACTCACTATCTCTCACTCACTCCCTCACCCACTCACCAGTGATGAGGTCACTGCTGACGGCAGCACCAGGCAGGAACAATGCTCCTCACTCGCTCCACCAGCTGCAGTTGCGCCTCCCTCAAACACCCCCTGCCCATTTAAGGCGGCTCAGACGTTGACCTGACCCGATCCACAAGCTGCAAATACGCCCCTCACTCACCTCTAATAATGCTCCGTCACTCACTCACTCACCAGTGAGATTGCTCAGTCTCTCACTCACCAGTGAGATTGCTCGATCCACCAGCTGCAGATACGCCTCCCCCTACCTCTCATAATGCTCTCTCTCCCTCACTCACCACTCATTCACTCACCAGTAATGAAGTCGCTGCTGATGGCACTACTTTCTCACTCGATCCACCAGTTCCAAATACGCCTCCCTCGAATACCCCCTACCTCTCTCTCACTCCCTCACTCACTCCCTCCCTCATTCACCAGTGATAAATTCACTGCTAATGGCAGTGCCTGGCACAACGCTTCTCACCCGATCCACCAGGTCCAGGTACGCCTCCCTCGAATACCCCCTGCGCATTTGAGGCGCCTCAGGAGTACCTTCACTCACCAGTGATAAAGTCACTGCTAATGGCAGCGCCAGGTACAATGCTCCTCACTCGATCCACCAGCTGCAGATACGCCTCCCTTGAATACCCCCTGCGCATCCTCCCCAGCACACTGCTGCTGCCGCTCTGCGCGGGCAGATGCAAACTTTTGCACACGTTGCCCCGGGCAGCCATGAGCGAAAGAAGCTCCTCTGGAAAGTCCTTGGGGTGAGGGGAGGTGAAGCGGAAGCGGATGTCGGGAAAGCTCCGGGAAGCTTCGTCTAGGAGGGAGGCAAATCGGATCCCTCCCAGCTTGGGTTTGTAGATTGTGGAAAAGCCAGGGGTTAAGTGCGGTTGGGAGGGGGGGGGGGAGGAGGAGGAGGAGGAGGAGGAGGAGGAGGAGGAGGAGGAGGAGGAGGAGGAGGAGGAGGAGGAGGAGGAGGAGGAGGAGGAGGAGGGGGAAGAAGAAGAAACAGTGGCAGTGACTGAATCAACCGTATCGCTCTCTGACGTGTCCCGGTAGCTATTAACATTCTGCCCGAGAAGAAAAATTTCCTTCACGCCCTGCCCGGCAAGCTCCTCAATCTCCCCAAGGATGCTCCTGATTGGCCGGGACCGCTCCCGGCCCCTCGTGAAAGGCACGATGCAGTAAGAGCACATGTTGTCGCACCCCCTCATTATAGTCACAAACGCGCTGACAGAATTAGAGGCGAGGCGTACAGGTGACACGTCAGCGTAGGTTTCGTCGAGCGAGAGAAGTGTGTTGACTCCTGTCTGACCCGCTTCCACCTGTTTGGCACCGGGAAGATAGAAAACAAAAAAAGGAAGAAGCGCAGGGGAAAGAAGGATGGGGAGGGGGGGGGGGAGTAGGTGGTTTTGGTTCTGACCCAAGGGAAACACGTCAGCATACATTTCGTCGTGGGAGGGGAGCGTATTGACTCCAAGCTGACCCGCTTCTAGGGGGAAGGGGGAGAAAGAACACGTCGGTGTAGGTTCGATTGAGAGAGGGGAGTGTGCTGACTCTCAACTGACTTGCTCAAAAGCTGCTCAGGTCTGCAAACCAAGAGAGTGGGAAACGAAGAACGGGCCGCGTGGTGGGGACTGGCACAAGAGACTCCTTCAGCATCGGTATTGTCAAAAGAGGAAAAAAAAAGGGAAGAACCTTACAAGCCCACCTCACAAGAGGGAGAACAAGGAGTTGATTCTATACACACATACACACATACACACATACACACATACACAGACCACGTCCACCATCTTATCCACGTCCACCACCAGCTGCTCCTTCTGAAACCTAGACACCTTCTCACTACAAGCCTGCTCTTTACAATCACCCTACTCGTTACAGTCACACGATTCAATTCACCCTCACCGCATCCAGCAGGCGGGGCAGGTCCCTGTAAGCGTCAGGGCCACACACCACGTCCACCACGGCACTAGCTGCCGTATAATATTATTCTCACTACAACCCCGTTCTTTACAATTACCTTACTCGTTACAGTCACACACCTCACCTCATCCAGCAGGCGGGGGAGGTCCCTGTAGGCGTCAGGCCCACACACCACGTCCACCATCTTACCCGCCGCCACTAGCTGCTCCTTCTCACATTTAGCCACACACTCATTACAAGCCCACCTCGTTACAGTCACACAATTCGTTTCACCCTCACCTCATCCAGCAGGCGTGGCAGGTCCCTATAGGCGTCAGGCCCACACACCACGTCCACCATCTTATCCGCCGCCACCAGCTGCTCCTTCTAGCATCCAGACTCATTCTCTCTCAGTACAAGCCCTCAGTTACAGTCACACGACTCACTCCCACAGCCTCACCTCATCTAGGAGCCGCGGTAGATCCCTGTAGGCGTCAGGCCCACACACCACGTCCACCATCTTATCCGCCGCCACTAGCTGCTCTGCCCCTTCAAGAACCTAGACACATGCTCATTAGGAGTCCACCTCGTTACAGTCACACATCTGGCTCTCACCTCATCTAGGAGCCGCGGTAGATCCCTGTAAGCATCGGGCCCACACACCACGTCCACCATCTTATCCGCCGCCACTAGCTGCTCCTTCAGCCGCTCTGCCATGCACCCCAGAACAGCCACCTTCGGCGGAGGTGGTAACCACCCCGCTGGTAACCCTGTAACAGATGCAGCACCAGCACCAGCAGCATCAGCACTAGCACTAGCAGCAGCAGCGGCGGCGGCGGCGGCAGCAGCAGCAGCAGCAGACTGAGCGAACTTATCCTTCCACTTCCGCTTCACATGCTTGAAGTAATTCAACCGATGCCACACCTTCGCCTCTGCATTCTCCCTGATCGCACACGTGTTCACCAGAATCACCCGCGCCTCCTCCGGCCTATCAGCGCGCGCCACGTTGAACCCTGCGGATCGGAGGATCCCCAGCACCACCTCCAGGTCGTTCACGTTCATCTGGCATCCGTATGACTCCAGGTACACTCCCCTGGGGTCCGTTACTGTATCCTTAAACGAATTTGTGACAGTATCGGGGATGGAGTCGTGAAAGTGGGGTGGGAGGTCGGCCTGGGAACCGTCGATTTGTGCTTGAAGCGAGATTGTGGATTGATGGGGGTGAAGCAACGGGACTTCATTAAGCAATTCAGCCGTTTCCTTCGAACCTGAAACTTTCCCTCCCACCCTCCCTGCTGCTTTTCCTGCTCCCTTCGCTCCCTCCTCTCCTGCTCCCTTCGCTCCTGCTCCTCCCTCTCCCGCTCCTGCGCTCTCCTCTTCTCCGTCTGCTCCTGCTTCTCGTGCAGCTGCTCCCTCTTCTCCTGCTCCTACACCTGCTTCACTTGCAGCTGCCCGCCTGATGAAATCCGAGAGCGACGGGGCGATCCGGATGGCCTGACGAAACGAATGCCGTGCAGTCGAGGACGCTACAAACGAGGATGCGGATTCACTGTGCGTTGACCCGTCTCCGGCCCTGTCGCTTCCCACGCACGTTTCCCGGAATTTTGATTCCAGAGCCACTAGATGCTTTTCCTGCTGCTGCGGCGGCGGCTGTTGCTGCTGCTGCTCCGCACTATCGCTGAAATGCAGCGCGCCGAGCCCACTCGAGAACGTCCTCGTTATACCGGGGCTCGGTTGTGGTGAGTAAACGGGTGCTCGGGCCATGGAAAGGCTTGCGATCGGACGGTTGTGAACCCTCCATGGGCTTCCGAGTCCACGAACGGACGGCTCAGATATATCCGAGCGACTCTGTAACGAACTCGCGAATCTGAAACGCGACGCTGGACGCTGTTGCGACGGATCGAGCTTCGATACATCTGGGCTCCTCCTAGGAAAGACCGAGGAGAAGAAAGCAGCGCACGAGGAGGAAGATTCGAGAAGCCCGCGATTTTCCGCACTACCTAGCGAATTGGCGATGTGCCAGTTTCGAGCTGCTCGCGATATAAGACGAATCGGTATAAGACGACGGTTAAGGCGACCATTAGCCAACGGTCTACCACGCATGGCTAACCGATCGCCCGCTTGAATCGTGCGTAGATCGCACGGCCAAGGTTACTCGGGATCCAAGTTGGAACGCTCAAACGCGAATCTGTCTCTGAGGCATTCCTAGTGACTTGTCAAAGGAAGACGGTAGTCGCAGGTCTGACCTGAACGTAAGGGCGTGTCCCCAAAATTCGTCCAAATCAAATGCGGCTGAATTATTTGAAATGGTATTTACTAAGCTTTTATAAAATTAAATAGGGGGGAATTATGCCACTAGTAACAGTGGCCTCGATAATCTGTTTGGTAAAAAATAGTTCGTGTACGGTCACTGAAAATTTCACGCGAATGATATTAGAGTTCAAGTAATCATGCCCATCAGGCCCCTAGATTCGTTTTGAGGCACGCTGATCGATCAGCGTGCACCCCTGTTAGAACTCTGTGAGTCAGCGTGGCCCCAAAATTTTAGGCTGAAAAATCAGACAACTCAAAGTTTTTTAGGCTGAGTTTTCAGAGTTAGCTGTAAAACTTTCATGAAAAACACCATAAAACATGTCACATATCTGAGTCAGAGTCTGAACCTCTACAGGAGCACGCTCAACCTCTACAGCCTCCTTCCGAGCCCTTGAAGGCTCCCTGTCTCTTGGAGCAGAGCGGTCGTATTTGCAGGGAAGGTGGGGTGGGGTGGAGGTTTGTGGTGCCGTACGAGGCGTAGCGCGCTGAGACTGAGAGCCAACGCTGCCTGCTGCGCAACCCTGATTGGCCGCTTTGCTGTACCAACGCGACAGTGCGGGGCCTCGCGAGGGAAAACTTGATTTCCCGCCCGTGATTGACAGTGTTACCGGTAATCCTACAGGCTGGCGGAAATCCCTGTATTGCCGGATTCAGTGTGCACGCCCGATACAAGGCTGAGGGCTCAGCCTACACTCATAAAATTAGGCTGAAATTTCAGCCAAGTCATAAAAAAAAACTCTGAAAAATCAGACAAGGTACATAAAAAAAACTTTGAAACATCAGACAAGGTACATAAAAAAAAAAATCTTTGAGTTCAGCCTAGGTACAAAAAAAAAAGTCTGAACGAACTCTGAATCAGAGTAAAAAGTCAGATATCTACGGCCCTGATGCCCATGTATGATGATATCGAGCATGTCGAGTAATATATATGGGAGGTATCATACTACAATGATTGGTCTATGTGGACTAGCAATCTAGATAGTAGAAGAAACTCTAGACGGACGGACGGATGCCGAGCAGAAGGCACTAGCATGAAGTTAATACGGTAAGAGCACAAAAAAATCTGTTGTGAGTGCCAATGAGTATTCATATGGCAATTTCCACGCCGATTTATACTTCTTTTCAGTAGATTCAGCTCGTAAATTGTGTACCAATACCATTTTTTATAAAGGGATCAAAATGTTTTGGATTACTGACCTGAAATAGCTGAAGTAGTGGAGTATGTACGTCTAAACGGTGTATGCAATATGAAGGGCATTGTCATTCAACTACACCAGGATGGGACCACCTCAACCTCCCCTATTGGTAGAAGCTGATGTGACGAGCATAGGAATTGCCCTTCCAGCTCATTGTGACGGGAGCGAACACCTCGACCTTCGCTATTGGTAGAGCCTGATTACCCAGATGCGCGATAAGGCGACAAGATGATTCTGGCGTGTCGTGAACACATATCGATCACGCGCTCCGTGATTCTGCTCGAAATCAACCAATCCTGAATTACCAAGTAGTCCAGTCAGTCGATTCTGAACCAATCCGGATTCTGGCCCCACGCAATCCCCTACCTTTCAGGGTCGAGCCAAGCACCAGCCTCATCCACCTGCTTCCTCCCCATGCCGTCCCACCCTACCCCATCCCATCCAACCGCACATCTCCTCCATTCCCTCCCCTCATCCACTCCACACATTCGAAATCGTCTATCTTCAAATAGTGCCGAGAGTTTCTTTCTTACCAAGTCAGCGACAGACTCCCAGGTTCTCATACACAACTATTTAGTTGTACCTTTTACCGCAGTAGACAATGGCCGCTCTCGCCAACGCCGCTGTGCTCCCGTCCACCTTCGTCGGCCAGAGCGCTGAGCTCGCCGCCAAGGTGAACAATGTCGAGGCCCGCGTCACCATGAGGAAGACCGCCAAGGCGGCTTCCAGCAGCGCTTTCTATGGCCCCGACCGCAACCTGTTCCTGGGCCCGTTCTCCTCCCCCCCGTCGTACCTCACCGGCGAGTATGCCGGCGACTACGGCTGGGACACCGCGGGTCTGTCCGCTGACCCCGAGACCTTCGCCAAGAACCGTGAGCTGGAGGTACGTTGCTTGCAGCGATTTCGATGTGTGAAATCTCTTTCAATGCACCAATTTCTGACCGAATTCAATTTTCCTTCTATGCTGTACGTACATCAGGTGATCCACGCTCGCTGGGCTCTGCTCGGTGCCCTCGGGTGCCTCACCCCTGAGCTCCTCGCCAACAATGGCGTCGAGTTCGGCGAGGCTGTGTGGTTCAAGGCCGGTGCCCAGATCTTCTCCGAGGGCGGCCTTGACTACCTGGGCAACCCCAGCCTGATCCACGCGCAGTCCATCCTGGCCATCTGGGCCACCCAGGTCATCCTCATGGGTGCCGTCGAGAGCTACCGCGTGGGTGGCCTTGAGGGCTTCCAAGAGGTCGAGGACCCCCTGTACCCCGGCGGTGCCTTCGACCCCCTGGGTCTGGCTGACGACCCCGATGCCCTTGCTGAGCTGAAGGTGAAGGAGCTGAAGAACGGCCGCCTCGCCATGGTGTCGATGTTCGGCTTCTTCGTCCAGGCCATCGTCACCGGCAAGGGCCCCCTGGAGAACCTGTCCGACCACCTGGCTGACCCCACCGTGAACAACGCCTGGGCCTATGCCACCAACTTCACCCCCGGCGCTTAAATGTGCTGTGTCTAGTTGTGGTGCTTTGTATCTATACTAGATTTCAGCTGTAAGGCTGTTCATAAAATTCAACATAAATTTCAACGAGATTTCAAAACCACGGTTTGCAGAGCACTTGCGACAAATGGTAGTTATGTTACCGCAACATGTGACCGGGTCCCTAGCAATTCAGCAAAGTTGTGTGGGGGTTCATTTTGCTGCAGGCATGCACCTTGGGGCAATGCCCCGGCCCAATTCAGTGTTTATCCGAGTGCCTGTGCTGCAGAACCTTCAACATGGCTCTTCCAACTCCAGTGTGGTTGGAAAACATGCTACGAATCAGTGTTTTTTCTGAGTGCCCGAGCTGCAGACAGAACCTGCACCATGTCTCTGCCAGCTCCTGTCATTCTAAATCAGTGATTTTTAACTACACTAGTTGCAAGTCAGTGCTTATCTGCATGCCCGTGCTGCAGGTCCTGCACCATGGCTCTCACTGCCTTGCTGATCTGCTCCAACCGAGTTGCTCCCAGCACCATCTGCGCCTCCCCCTCGCCTGCTGCACCCACAGCAGGCGTGTCGCTTGCTGCGCCTCTTGCTTCATCCACCAGGCTTTCCGACAGCAGCCGGTGCCAGGCTGCATCCTGCACATGGGGAGAGAGGAGTGATGTAAGATGGAAAGGTGATATCGCTTGCAAGTGTAGCATAGGTTTTCCAACAGCAGTCGGTGCCTTGCTGCATCCTGCAAGTGGGGGGGTAGGCAAGACTCAATTCTACTCCACCAGGCTTTCCAACAGGAGCCAGTGCCTTGCTGTATCCTGCAAGTTGGGGGACGGGTGAGGGAGCATGATATCAAAGAGTGAGGGAGCAAATGAACTCATAAATGCGCCTCTTGCTTCGTTCACCAGGCTTTCCGACAGCAGCCAGTGCCTCGCCGCGTTCCGCGCGCGGGGAGAGAGGAGTGATATAAGATGAAAAACTGATATTTCTCTTGCAACGCTAGCTTTGGATTTCCGACAGCAGCCGATGGCTTGCCGTGTCCTGCAAGTGGGGGCACAGGCGAGGGAGCACGACACTAAGAATTGACAAGTACTTAAACTCGCTTTTGCGCCATCAGGCTTTCCAACAACAACCAGTGCCTTGCTGTGTCGTGCACGTGGAGGAGCAAATGAACACATTATTGCAACGCTTGCTTCGTCCACCACGCTTTCTGACACAAGCCGGTGCCTTGCTGCATCTTGCACACAGGGAGAGAGGTGAAAGAGTATGATATCAGGGACTATGCAGCAGACAAATCACTGTCATGCCTCTAAATTTGCCCACTCGCTAGTAGCCAATGCCTCGCTTCGTCCTGCACGCAGGGGGACAGTTGAAGGAGTGGTAAAACACGGAACAAACGAGCTCACTTTGTGCCTCTCTTGCTGTGTCCACCAGGCTTTCCAGCACCAGCGGGTCCCTTGCTGCATTATGTGGAAAGACAAACGAGCCCAGCGGGCGCTATAGCAACATAAATACTCATTCATTGCTGCGCCCTATTGCTCTGTCCACCCCGCTTTTTAACATGAGAACCCCTGATGCTTCGAAGCATCCTGTGCTGGACGAAGAAAACGGTAGTGATAATAATGTCTCACTACTCACCTCACCACTTGCTGCCGAGCCGGTTTTCCAGTTGACGCAAAAATTGTCAGCGCCTCACGACTCACCACTTGCTGTTGAGCCCGGTCCTAGTTCTCTGCAGATTTTTCGGTCCACTCAGGCATTGCCCATGTTTCACTACTGACCTCTTGCTACTGAGCCAACTTTCCAGTCGACTTGAAATAGCCCCTGCCTCACCACTCACTACTTCTAAGCAGATCTATCAGTCGACAAGAGAATTTCCCATGTCACACTACTCACCACTTGCCGTGCTCTCACCAATCGACTTGATTGCCCATGTCTAATTGCTCACAACTTGCTGCTGAGCCTCACGACTCACCACTTGCTGCTGAGCCCGGTCGCATGCGGCTTGAAAGAGGTCCACTCGGCTCTGAAACACCTCCAGCGCTGATGCTACTGCCACCTCACTGCGCTGCGTACTGGAGCTGCTTATAAGGGGGACAATTATGGAAATTGGGGAAAGTAGTGGAGTGGATGGGGAGGAAGACAGTGGAAATAAGGAAGACAGAATGTCCAACGACAAGAGCGATACGGAGGGGAATGGAATGGGGCAAAAGGGAACAGCAGAATTCGTGAGTAAAGCAAGCAAAGCGGAGGGAATTGGGAGAGAGAGGGGGAAAGGGCAGGTGTGTGTGTGTGTGTGTGGTGTGCGGGAGAGAAGTGTGCGGGAGAGAGAAGTGTGCGGGAGAGAAGTGTGCGGGAGAGGGGTGCGTGTGGGGTGTGTGGGAGAAAGGTGTGCATCGGAGGGGCATAGGAAAGATGTGCATCGGAGAGAGGCATCAATATGTGTACCCTGAGTGGGCATCACCACGAGGGGCCGAGGAAGCAGCCTCCACGAGCAGCGAGGCAGAATCGAGCACCTCCTGACGGGCGAGGTAACATGGAAGGAGGAGAGGGCGATGGGAAAAAGTGACAGCTACAGATGGAGCGAGACGAGCGAGTGACGAACAGAGCGAGATCAAAAGAGGGTAGACAAGACGGGTTGAAGGGTGAATAAAGCATTGTTGGAAGGGTGGCGGAAGCATGGCGGAAGGGTGATGGAAAGGTGGCGGAAGGGTGGGAGGGGAAGGAGCGTGCGCCAGCAGTGCGTGGACGGAGTATCCAAGCACAAGTGGTGCATGGACGGAATAACGAGACGCGCATCGAATGAGCTTTGAAGGCGAGTCGCCATCGCATCCATCGCCTGGAGATCCCTAGGCGGCAGCCCCCAGAAAATCTCAGCCGTCCGCCTCAGCTGTCCTTCAGAAATGCAACGGTGAGAATCGGGGAGCAGCAGCGTGGAAAGGGGGAAGGAAAGTCATGAAGCGACGGCGAGGCTATGGCGTGGATTACACTCCTCCTACTCTCCTCTTTCCTTCACGTCTGCTTTGCTCGCACGAAGGTACCGTTGATTTCAGATTCTGAGGCTCCTAGTAGCCGGCGCGCTGTGGCATCAACGTGTATCGTCACTACACAGGGCAAGCGAATCCGGAAAAACAGGCAGTTTCGATCCACCTTTAGAATTAATGCGATTAGTGCATCTCGTCAATACACTCACCCATCAATTGGGCACACCAATAATCCCTATCTTCGTGTATATTTCACCAGAGTTCACAAATTGCTGCTACATGGAAGCGCTCCATTGTATTCGTTATTCAGGAAGCAAGTTACATTAAGATCGCAAATTCTTGTATTGCCGCCGCAGACATGAAGAGAGCTTGGGTTGTTTAGTACCGGTAGGCCATAATTTACCGTATTTCATAATCATAAACTTCGTTGCTCTAGCGAAAGTATGTAGCAAGGTATGGTCAGAAGCAAAGGAACCACGGCCATTCTACCGTTATAAAAGTACCGAAACAAGTGAAGCTGTGAGCATCAACCATTCATCCTCAAAGCAATCCAGGCAGCGAAGCAACCTCGCCCATTTTGACCTGGTTGGGCTGTCTGTCAAACATATGTTTATATGTTAAAGTTAGATAGGCTGTAGTGGGGTACTCACTGTGGGGTACAACCCCTTAGATTTTTCCTCTTGTACCAACACTCTCGATAGTTGAATCATCCATTGCCTAGCCTTTCGACATGGTATCAGAGCGGTCTCGGGTTCGAATCCCAGTGTGTGCACTTCGGGCATCCCAGTGCGGGGGGGTGTCAGAGGTCCACTGGTGATCCCCGATTGATCATAGGGAAGGGTTACAGGCTCGTTGTCCTGGGGGGTTATGTGCGCACTGACCCGCTAAGCCCTTTTATCCCAATGGTCTAGTGGTTGGGATTCTGACATGGCATCTAGAGCGTAGGTCCTTAGGACCTAGGATTAGGGCCCACCTCACCTGCCTTGCCTACTGCCCGCGCGCGCCTCGGCTGCCCGCGCGCGGCCCCTTTTTTTTTTTGCCGCGCATGCCTCTTACGCAGCTCGCGCGGCCCGTTTAGGCCCCGCCCGCGCGCCACTTCCGCAGCTCGCGCGGCCCGTTTAGGCCCCGCCCGCGCGCCACTTACGCCGCCCGAGCGCAGCCCGTTTAGGCCACGCCCGAGCAGCCCGCCGCAGCACGCCACCCGCAGTCGCGCGAGGCCCGTCGCCACGCGCAGCCACGCAGTCGCGCGCAGCCCGTCGCCACGCGCAGCCAGGAGCCGCGCGCAGCTCGTCGCCACGCGCGCTGCCCGCAGCCACGCGCACAGCCTGCAGCTTAGCGCAACAAGCCGCCTGCTGCTGCTGCCTGCCACCTGCCTGCAGCCTGCCTACTGCCTGCCTGCTGCCTGCCTGCTGCTTGCTGCCTGCTGCCTGCCTGCCGCCTGCCTGCAGCCTGCCTGCTGCCTGCCTGCTGCAGCCTGCCTGCCACCTGCCTGCTGCCTGCCTGCTACTTACTGCCTGCTGCCGCCTGCCTGCTTGCTGCCTGCTACCGCCTGCCTGCCACCTGCCTCCTACCTGGTGCCTGCTGCCTCTGTCTGCTGCCTGCTGCCTGCTGCCTCCTGCCTTAAGCCAATATGGCGACGCCCAACGTTCTCGCATTCGAGCCTGACGGTCGTCCCCTCGAGTTCGCTGTGTGGTTAGACGATCTCCAGCTGTTCCTTCTGACTGATGCCAAAGAGGGCGTTTCCCTGTTTGATTACGTCTCTGGCACTGCCGTTACTCCTGCTGCTGATGCTCCTGCTCTAGAACGCTCCCAGTGGCAGACTCGTGATGCTGCTGCACGCCTAGCTATTAGGAACCACCTGCCGATTACTGAGCGAGCGCACTTCAGCCAGCACAGAACTGCTAAGACACTGTACGACGCTGTAGTTGCGCGCTACTCCTCCCCGGCCACTGCAGCCATAGGTCGACTCATGCTACCGTACCTGTTCCCCGATCTTTCCTCGTTCACCACTGCTGAGGACCTAGTTTCTCACCTACGTGCTACTGACCCGTCGTTTGAGTCTGCTGCTGCGTCTGCCTTAGTCGCTGAGCTTGTTGACTTTGCTGCTCACTGTCGTCTAGACTACGCCGCCAGTCTTGTTGCTGAGTCTGAGTCTGTCTGTCCTCCGTCCGTCGGGGGTGAGTGTGCTCTTGGCACGGACGTCCTTGAGGACAGGCAGGAGGACCTTGAGTGTCTTGCAGCCGCTGCGCCTCATCTCGTGTCCATGCTGTCTGCCACTGAGAGGAGTACTCACCCGCGATCGCCTCAGCGTAAGAGCGCGGGGTAGGGATGTCTGGTGCATCCGGGTCTCCCTGAGTTCCCCAACTGGGCAGACTGTCTGTCAAACATATGTTTATATGTTTAAGTTAGATAGGCTGTAGTGAGGTACTCACTGTGGGGTACAACCCCTTAGATTTTTCCTCTTGTACCAACACTCTCGATAGTTGAATCATCCATTGCCTAGCCTTTCGACATGGTATCAGAGCGTAGGTCCTTAGGACCTAGGATTAGGGCCCACCTCACCTGCCTTGCCTACTGCCCGCGCGCGCCTCGGCTGCCCGCGCGCGGCTACCCTGCGCTCTTACGCTGAGGCGATCGCGGGTGAGTACTCCTCTCAGTGGCAGACAGCCATGGACGCAGAGATGGCATCCTGGAAGTCCACAGGCACTTACGTTGACGAGGTTCCCCCTCCTGGGGCGAACATTGTCAGTGGCATGTGGATTTTCAGGGTGAAGCGGCCTCCAGGTTCTCCGCCTGTCTTCAAGGCTCGTTACGTGGCTCGAGGCTTCAGTCAGCGAGAGGGAGTTGACTTCTTCCAGACCTTCTCCCCCACCCCGAAGATGACCACTCTTTGGGTGCTGCTGCATGTTGCCGCTCAGCGTGACTACGAGCTTCACTCTCTTGACTTCAGCACAGCCTTCTTACAGGGCAGCTTGCACGAGGAGATCTGGCTGCGCCGCCCTCCTGGCTTCACTGGGTCGTTCCCTCCTGGTACCCAGTGGAGCCTCCGGCGGCCAGTCTACGGTCTCCGCCAGGCGCCACGTGAGTGGCACGACACACTGAGGACGACACTTGCGGCTCTTGGGTTTGCTCCGTCGACTGCTGACCCGTCGCTGTTTCTGCGCACCGACACTTCGCTGCCGCCGTTCTACATCCTCGTGTACGTCGACGACTTGGTCTTTGCCACTGCTGACACTGAGGCTCTCGCCCTGGTGAAGTCGGAGCTGCAGAAGAGACACACGTGCACAGACCTGGGTGAGCTGCACATCTATCTTGGCTTGCAGATCACTCGGGACAGAGCACGCCGCACCATCACACTGACTCAGTCACACATGGTGCAGCAGGTCCTTCAGCGCTTCGGCTTCACCTGGTCCTCAGCACAGCCCACTCCTCTGGCTACAGGTCACTCGCTCTCAGCTCCACCTTCGGACGAGTCCGTAGAGCCGAGTGGTCCTTACCCAGAGCTAGTGGGCTGCCTCATGTACCTGATGACCTGCACTCGTCCTGACCTTGCGTACCCTCTTGGTCTTCTGGCTCGCTACGTGGCTCCTGGTCGGCACCAAAAGGTGCACATGGATGCTGCTAAGAGGGTACTACGCTACTTGTGCAGTACATCGGGCATGGGGCTCGTGCTTGGAGGACGGGGTGACGTTGTCCTCACTGGTCACTCGGACGCCTCTTGGGTTGACAACCAGGCTACGCAGCGGTCGTCACAGGGTTACACCTTCAGCCTTGGTTCTGGTTCAGTTTCCTGGCGTTCTACACGTTCGTCTTCAGTTCTCGGCTCCAGCTGTGAGGCCGAGATCTACGCCACAGCCATGGCTGCGCAGGAGCTACGCTGGCTCACCTACCTGCTGACCGACTTGGGAGAGCGGCCTCGTTCTCCTCCAGTTCTGTACGTCGACAACAAGGCCGCCATCGCCTTGTGTCAGGAGCACAGACTGGAGCACAGAACAAAGCACATCGCTCTCCGTTACTTCCTTGCTCGAGAGCTGCAGCAGCGTGGCCAGCTTCGTCTTACTTACGTGGCCACTCGGGCCAACACTGCTGATATATTCACCAAGGCGCTTCCGCCTGGTGATCATCAGCGTTTCTGTACTTTGTTAGGCCTTGTGCCCACGCTTCCTCACTTGCTGTAGGCTTTGTTTGTACTGTGATCTATATGTATACCTGCATGCTTGCTCTTGTAGGCTGAGATCAATGTGCTGTTGTTGTTACACATATATCTCTGCATGTGAACTGGCCTTGTGGCCTCTTGCTTGTGCTCAGATTGCGTGGTGACGTTGTGATCCACCCTGAGCTTGCTTTGCATTTCCTGTCTGGCCTTGTGACCCTCTGTTCTCCCCCACTTTGCCTATGGGGGTGTGTCAAACATATGTTTATATGTTTAAGTTAGATAGGCTGTAGTGGGGTACTCACTGTGGGGTACAACCCCTTAGATTTTTCCTCTTGTACCAACACTCTCGATAGTTGAATCATCCATTGCCTAGCCTTTCGACACTGTCTTGTCAGAATATTTTTTTCAGTATAACTGTATGTTGTTCTAGCTGTAGTATAGTTATATTGATGCCTTGCTTGTGGTGCACCCCCTCCTTGCTTGTCTCTTGAATAACTTGGGCCTTTGGCCCTTAAGTCAAACCCTCTACCTTTCTACTCTCGATAGTTGCCTAGCACCCAAACCCTAGGCACTACTAAGCTTATCTTAACATGGTATTAAGAGCCGGTCGTTCCTAGACCGATTCTCTCATGGGCCCACCGCGTGTTCCTCCTCTCATG